ATAGATAGAAAGATAATGAGAGGAGAAATGAGAGAAAGGGATAGAGAGAAAGAGAGAAAGAGAGAGAGAGATACTAGCCATTTCTATAACAACAAAACTATCTCATCAGCAAAGCCAAAGTTTCATATTTTTTTTCCACCTCAAGCGCAGAAACGGTTTCCAAATAGAAACAACAGTAATTGTGTTGGTTTTTTTTCCTTTAATCAAAGCAGCCCATTTAGCCGTATTTGCTAACGCCATCAACTTTTGCAGCCATTCATCCATTGTGGAAATCGAAGTGTCCATTTTTGTGCATAAAATAATCTTGCTGCCGGCAACGTATATAACATCGAAGTTCTAATTTTTGTTCAAGTACTTTCTCCATTAGGCCCAAAAGGAAAGCCTCTTATTTTATCTTTATATTCACTTTTAAGAATCTTCTACATTAAGATAAGAATCCTGCATTTCTTTGCTTTGTCCCGTCTACCATAAATGATAAAAAGTCCCGTTTTGACATTTGCATTTCCAACATTCATTTAAAATCCCTTTACACCTTCTGGACAACTTATCTGGCATTAAATACCAAACGGTACATCGCCTTATAAAACTTTTCTTTTGAATTATAACTTAGTGTGAATTTCAGACCTTTGGTTTCCCCCAAAACGTTACTTGTTCTAGTAGACATTTTAACTTTACTTTATTGTCACTGCACCTCGTGCAACGAAATTAAACACCACCTTCAGTGTACATTGTGACTATGAAAATAAAACACACATCCTTCACATTCCATGCAAATTTTCATGAAAACACCTGATAGTGTATGAACATTGCACTATGCAGTAGAATTTTAACAGGAACATTGTGTTTGAGAAGGAAATAATTATGGGGCAAGCAAATTACCTCTTCTAAAACTTCCCAGGATTCTGCGGCGTTTTGATCCTGGGGGATTTCAGGTAACGGTGCAAAAATCTGGCTAAGGGAATTTTCTCCGCCTTCGGTGTTGGAGGTTTCTGAAGGGAAACAACACACTGTCAGGATTCCGGCAGTCGCCCCCATTTAAATCATGAGTCTCGAGCCAAACTTCCAAAGGATTTATGGAGAGTTAACGTGCCAACACTGCCTGGGTGCAGCCGACTCTGAGACACATCATTCACTGGTATTCGCCTTGACCCTGGTTCTCCCCTCCATCTCCTGGGTGTATCATAATTTATATTCTCCAATGAGACACATCCACAGCCAAGAGTCATCAGTCATGCCCTCCAGTGAGATTTTTGCATGGCAGAAACTTCAGTCGCCTAGTGACTATCTCTGAAAACATTTATGGAATGCACTTTAGCTTTCCAAGCTGCCACACCGCTCTTTCAAACCCCTTTCCTCCTTCCCTTTCTGTTGGCAACTCTAAGGTCACCTGAGTACTGCAAATGTGCGTGAGGCCTTCTTGGAGTTGCTGAAAGGACTGTGTTGTAGTCACACCAATTTGCACCACTCAGGTGACCCTGAGGACACAAGAGAAACCTCCAAGTGGCCTCAACAACCCTCTAAAACAGGGATCTTCAAACTTGACAGCTTTTAAGACTTGTGGACTTCAACTCCCAGAATTCCTCCTCCTCCAGTCATGTTAGCTCAGAAATTCTGGGAGTTGAAGTCCACACGTCTTAAACTTTGCCAAGTTTGAAGGCCCTTGTTCTACAGAGTGAGATTTGACCACTACCTCTGTAATGTCTCCTTGCTGGCTAGGCACATAACTGAAAAATGTGTACAGGTTGTCCTTGATTTAACGAACACATTTTATTTTTTAAATTACACATGCCAATGGTTTAGACAGTTCTCTCTCCTTTAAGGCAGAGGTCTCCAAACTTGACAGCTTTTAAGACTTGTGGACTTCAACTCCCAGAATTCCTCCTCCAGTAATGTTAGCTCAGGGATTCTGGGAGTTGAAGTCCACAAGTCTTAAAGCTGCCAGGTTTGCAGACTCCTTGGTCTAGGCCTACCCGCGCCTGTATTTCAACCTCTGCCATTTTAAGACGGGTGGACTTCAACTCCCAGATTTCCTCCTCCAGTCATGTTAGCTCAGGGATTCTGGGAGTTGAAGTCCACAAGTCTTAAAGCTGCCAGGTTTGCAGACTCCTTGGTCTAGGCCTACCCGCGCCTGTATTTCAACCTCCGCCATTTTAAGACGGGTGGACTTCAACTCCCAGAATTCCTCCTCCAGTCATGTTAGCTCAGGGATTCTGGGAGTTAAGTCTACAAATCTTAAACTAGCCCAAGTTTGAAGACCCTTGCTCTTAAAGGATGCAAATGACCAGCTCTCTGCAAGAAATACAGATCCTTCCCTTCCCCACCATCCTTTTAGAGCGGAAGAAGCTTCTTGGATGAGAAGTGAAACGTCTTAAGGAAAAAGAAAGTCCAGCTGCCTCTTGAGGAAGAAAACAAAGCACCTTTGTGACACCCCTGACCTGGAAGGCTGAGAATCTCCAAAGACATCCAGGATAAAAAAAAAAATCTATATGCCTCGAGCAATTTCAACCAAAATTGGTACACAGATTATTTACCTTCTGGAAACAAATACTGTGGGGGTAAAACACCCCTCAGGGTGTGTGTTCTTAAGATACAGCCTATTGCGCCTTCAAATGGCTTCTACCGTACTGCCTTCAAATGGCTTCTACTGCACAGCGCTGCGGAGTTGCCATGGTAACGGCTTCACAGTACTCCTCCAGGGTACAAGATTATGTTTAGTCCGGGTCGCTGAAATCAGGGCTTTTCCTGTGTAATACAGGATTGGGATAAATAAATACCCGGGCAATGCTGGGCTATCGGCTAGTGTCGTGATGGAGAACCTATCACACCCCTTTGTGCCGGCATGCAAGCTGCAGGCAAATTTACCTCACTGCGCATGCGTCCGCCTCCCAGCTGATTTTTGGCCAGTTTGAGGCCTTTTTCAGCCTCCCAAAGGCTTGAGGAAGGTTTCTGCAGGTTTCTGCAGCCTCTGCAGGCCGAAAACTAGGCCCGTTTCGTCACGTCCTGTTTTTCTGAAAATACCGGAAGTGACCAAACGGGCCTAGTTTTCGGCCTGCAAAGCCTGCAGAAGCCTTCCTCAAACGTCTGGGAGGCCGAAAAAAGGCCTCAAACCGGCCAAAAATCAGCTGTGAGGCACAGTGCAGGTCAGGGCCTGTGTGGGGAGTGCACATTGCCTTCTGGGTGCTGGTGCGCAAGCGAGTGCACAATTTTTGGCACCGGAGCCCAAAAAGTTTAGCCGCCACTGGGTTAATGCATAAATGAACGGTACCCGTTCCGACAGTGGTAGAGTGGGTCAAACCAGCCTCCTGCTGTCTGAACTGCCTTTTCAACACTTCGGCCGACTCCGAATGCAGCTGTAAAAATTCTCTGATGGCCAACGAAGCTTCTTCTTTCACGGGGTCAATCATTCGCTGCAAAATTAGAATATCTTCCTTCCGGACTCGGGCGCAAAGGTTCTCCATCTCTCGGATATTTGCTCGCAGCTGCTGTAATATTTTAAAAAAAGAAAAAAAATATCATCCATTTCACCTCAGTTAGGCCTCAGTTAGGCAAATCAGGCCAGACGCCAAAAAAAAAACCAGGGAGTCCTCGACTTAACGACGGTTCTTATGGCTTTTCTTGCCCCCGTTGTTAAGTGGACCGCTGCAGTCGTTAGGTTAGTCACCTGGTAGTGAAGTGATTCTGGATTTCCCAGTTGCTAAAATGAGGCAAAAAACAAACTTAACAGTTGTTTCGTTTAGTGACAGAAATCCTGGGCTCAACTGTGGATGTAGGCCGAGGACTTCCTGTAAAGGGTTTTTTTTCCTGTCGAAGCAGGGCGGGGTTGGACTGGATGACCTCCAAGGTCCCTTCCAACCGTTAACCTAGACAGAGAGTCTTCGACTTACAACAATTCATTTTGTGGCCATTCCGAGTTACAACGGCACTGGGAAAAAAAATAACTTAGGACCATTTTTCACACTTAGGACTGTTACAGAATCCCCACAGTCACATGATCAAAATTCAGACGCTTGGAAACTTTTTTTTTTTAATCTTTGATCTGTCAGTATAACAGAGTTGGAAGGGACCGTAGAGGTCTTCTAGTCCAACCCCCTACTCAGGCAGGAAACCCTAAACCATCCTAGACAAATAGCTGTCCAAACTCTTCTTAAAAAGCCTCCAGTGTTGGAGCACTGCTCCAGCGCTCTCTAAGTGGAAGGAAGGAAGGAAGGAAGGAAGGAAGGAAGGAAGGAAGGAAGGAAGGAATAGCAATAGCACTTAAACTTATATACCGCTTCACAGCCCTCTCTAAGCAGTTGGAAGGAAGGAAGGAAGGAAGGAAGGAAGGAAGGAAGGAAGGAAGG